GGAAAAGACATCACTTTGACATTTTAATTTTGTTTTTGTTATTATTATTATTATTAGTGTTTATGGAAAACAAATGAAATGTTGAAAAGAGCACTCTGAGTATCATCTGTTAACAGGATACAACCCCGAGCTAATTCTCAGCCCCCCTGAGTCTCAATGCCCCTACTTATTCTAGAGGAATGATAACATCAAGTTTAAAGGTCTTTGCAAGAGTGAAACAGGATGTCCATTTAAAGTCAGTCTATGGGGGCTGGAGAGAGAATGGCTCAGCAGTGAAGAGCACTTGCTGCTCTTCCAGAGGGCTGAGTTCAGTTCCCAGCACCCACATCAGGCAGCTCACAACTGCTTATAATTCTAGTTCCAGCAAATTGCCCAGTTCTGGCCTATGAGAGCATTGTACTCACATGTGCGCACGCGCGCGCGCACACACACACACAATAATAATAATAATAATAAAACAATCTAAAATAAATAAAATCAGTGTCTTGAGTATAGTAGCTGTTCTGTCATTCCTCAGTTAGTAAATTATTATTAAGTCAATTATCTATACTTACTAACAACTTGCTAATAAAGTAGTAATTTGTTGTCATAATTTATAACTATTTAATAATTCATCAATTACTAAATCATTTCATCATCAGTTCTCAATCATTGTTAATCATTTGTTAATAAAGTAGTAATTCACTGTGATAGTTTATAACTACTGATTAATATTTATGTGATCATTTTTTAACATTGTTGGGGTTTGGGTCCAGGGTGTCATCATACTGGTTAAGTACTCTAACCACTGAGCCACAACAGCAGATCACATACTAATTATCAATACTCACTAATTAGCCCCTCCTCCCACATCTCTCAATGACATGTTTGGTGTCGTAAATAAGCTCAAGAAGCAATAACACCAACCAGAAGCAACTTAAGCGAGGGCTTATTTTAGCTTGCAGTTTGAAGGGATACAGTCCATCCAGATGGCGACTTGTGTAGGGAGTCGCCTAGTCACACTGTGGCCAGAGTCAGGAAACAGAGAGCACACAGGAAGTGGAATTCTACTATCAAACCTCTTCAAGCTTATTTCCAGTGACTCATTTCTTCCAGGTAGGCTCCACGTCCTTAAAGTTTTACAACTGTCTGAAACAGGGTCATCACCTGGGGACTGGGTGTTCAAATGCAGGAGCCTGACAGGGACATTTCACATTCAAACCACCACCTAGCCCTTCACTCACCAGGCCTAAGACACACACATACACACACACACACACACACACACACACACACACACACACACACAATAATAATAATAATAATAGGAATAAAACTTATCTAAAACAAATAAAATCAGTGTCTTGACCATGATTCCTCAGTAAATTATTGCTAAATCAATTGTCAATTCTTATTAATAACTTGTTAATATCAACTTATTAGTAGCTTGAGAGCCAATCTGTTGGGGGTTCAAAGAAGACTCAGGATTCCAAATGTGGCACAGCAGCTGGATGTTTTTGTCAATACAGCTACTAGTTCATCTCAGATTATAGTCTCTACTTCTGGTAAATGGCAGCCTGTGAGCTACTGCACTGGACTTTCTAGCATTCTGCTTGCCCATTTGCCTGAATCCCTTTAAAAAATAAAATTAAAACTCAGTAGATTAAGTCCTCACACACAGGACTTCACCCAGTCCCCGCACTCTCTGTGATCACTCTTCTTGAAAGAGTGTCTTTTGTTTATTCACTCACATCCTAGATATGTATACAACGTATCTTGATCACATCCACTCCCAGGACCTCTCCCACCTCCCTCACACCTCCCAACATGCCCCCTCCTACCTTCATGCCCTCTGAGTCCGATCAGTGCTGCCTGATGGAATATATTACTGATCTCATTGGCTTGGTTTGTACAGATGACCATGTCATGTCCAGAAGGCAGCTTTCCTGCCCCTTTTCCCTTAATGTTCCTGAGCCTTTGATCTCTCTCTCTCTCTCTCTCTCTCTCTCTCTCTCTCTCTCTCTCTCTGGTGTAATAGCATCCCACTCAGGGCTGAGCTCTCCACAGTGCCTTATTCTCAGCATTTTGACTAGGTATGAATCTCTGTCTTAACTGCTACCCCCAGGAGAAGGCTTCTCTAGCCAAATTTGATAGCAACACCAATCTATGCCTCCCTGGGATCTAAACTCAGTCTCTCAAATCCCATCTCTGTCTTGTTGCCCTGCCTTCTTCCTGTGTGTTATAGCTGTGGGCGCATCATCAAGCCCCATGTACACTCGTCAGGTTCTAGATTCCTGCCAAACTCCAAATCTCCATGACCCCTGAAGAGCTGTTTTCTATGCAAGCTAAAGAAGAGGACTTGAAAAAAAATTCTCCAGGAAACAATCCATCAAAAAGAAATGCCTATAGAAGAATTTTCTGCAGCATTTGAAATGCTTACCCATAAGGGCGTTTCACTAGCTAGTGAGCCTTCCTAAGGCTCAGCAGCACAGTAGAAGAGATGCACAAAAACTAAATAAACCAACAGGCATGGGCAAGCTTCCTAGAAGGCCAAAGCCCTAGCTCGTTTACATATGCATGAACCAGCCCAACCCAGAGACCCTTGTGGGTCTGAGCCATTTAAAAGTGCGCTTCAACCCATGGCTTTCTGATGGGATCTGAGGCCTGCTCCACAGCAGGGAACTCATGACTGGTACTGTAAACATGGTCAAAAGCCTATGGTTGGGAGGTCACAGGGCCCCTGCACGGGGACCTACTATTCCTGTTCTGCTAAATGGACATGTTGTCAACCGGCCTTATCAATATTTATGTTTATATGCATAAATGAGTGCGGCTCCCAGCCCTGGTCAGAGAAGCTTTTGTCTGCTGTGGATGTCGATGAAAGCAAAGAGTCTTAACTGGCCAAAGTGCTGAGAATAAGCGGCTGTGAGTGCTCTGCCCTAAGTGGGACATCTATCTATATCACGCCCTTCAAGACTTAGGGAACATTGTGGAGGAGGGGAGGAAAGGACACAAATGAGTGTGAGAACTGGCAAATGGGAAGAGTGGTGTAAAAACGGGTCCTCTGGACGTGACATGACTACTGTACCCATGAACTCATAGCAGCAACAGCCAAGTGCACAAGACCTGCACCATCAATAAGGCCCCATGAAGTGGGAAGGGCTTATGAGGCCCATCCCTCTCTGAGGAGCTATAAGTAACAATGGTTGTTAGGGGAGGGGATTCTTCAGTGATATAAGCAGTGGTGAGTTACCCATACTCTAGTATAAAACCCCCACTTGTGTTCACACAAGTAACTGTAGCAAAATGCAGTAGGACACACCCACAAAGCATAGGAGTAGAAGGGAGACTTGTGGGAAGAAAAGATGTTCAGTGGAAGCCAGAGGACACAGAAGAGGACAACAGAAGGTATGTTCAAAGCACATTATACATAGTTATGAAATGATTGGGGGATACTTTTTCTTAATATGCTTCAATCCACACAGAGATATTCTGCTTTTAAGGAAGCAATTGAGTCGATAAGTTTTCTCAGAGGTCAAAAGATGCTCTTTCAAAAGCCTAGAGGGAGGCCAGGTGTGGTGGTGATGAACACCTTTGATCCCAGGACTTGGTAGGCAGAGGCAAGTAGACCTCTGTGAGTTTGAGGCCAGCCTAGTCTATAAGGGAATACCAAGCCAGCAAGGGCCACACAGAGAGACCTTGTCTCAAAAATTCAAGACTAGAGAGAATGAGGAGGCTTTACTGAGTAAGAAAAATGTTGGGACCCTGAAGTGACAGAACAGTGATACACGGCCATGATTTCCAGCAGGCTAAACCACACTGTGACACTGTAGGAAACCCAGCTGAACACACCTGGATGGGAACACAGTCTGTTCCTAAAATCATGAAATCCAGTTCTTCTTCCACATTCTGCACATAGGTCTCATATTAGGTGTTCCATAAATAACTCATTTTTTCTTTGCTGTTTTCTTTTTCTTTCATGCTAGGGGTTGATCCTAGAGCTTAATGAATGATCAGTGATTGTTCTGACTCTCAGATGACTCCTCAAACCTCTTTGTAGTATCTGTTTTGAGACAGTGTCTCTCCAAGTTGTTCAGACTGGCCTTGAACTCACTCTGTAGCTCAGCCAGGACTTGGACTTATGATCCTCCTATCTCAGCCTCCTGAATAGCTGGGTTAACAGGCCTGTGACATTATGGCTGGCTTTGGGATTTTTTAAATATGAGGCCCTGGAATGGTTGAGATGGTTGTTAGAGTTTGAGACTAAAATACTCTCCACAGGCTCATGTGTATAACACCATTTTCTCAGATTGTAGCACTGCTTTGAGAGGCTATGGAAAGTGTAGGGGATAGAGGCTATCTGAAAGAAGGGAGACCCTAGAGAGAGGTCTTATAATGTGGAATCTTTGGTTCTTACCATGCTTTCTGATTCCTGATCTTGCATGTGGAAACAGCCTCCACAGCCATCTCCTTCCACCATGGAGTAAGCTGTATCATCAAACCACCTCAAACCATGATGAAGTGAAACCCTCTGAAACAATGAATTTAAATAGATTTATCCCCCTTAAGTGTTTTGCCAGACATTTTGGTCACAGGAACTGAAAAATAGCTAACACAGAGATTTTTGTCTTTTTCCAGCAAGCTATGTAACCAGCAAACCTGCTGACCATTCCTGGATATTATTAAAGTGCTTCATCAGTATGTCCACAGGAAGTTTTGAAAGACACTGGGTTGGATATATAAAACAAACAAACAAACAAACAAACAAACAAACAAAAGAAACACCTCTACATTGTCCCAAGCAATAACAATTGATTGCACAAGTACAAGTATCAAAGTTAAGTGGCAGAGAAGAGGGGAGAGTGAAAAACACAAACAAAAGCAGAAGATGTAGAAGAGTGGAGACGGTGGGGACATGGAGGAAAAGTGGAAAGACGACAGCACCATCAAAAGGAAACAATGAAATAAGAAGCAATTAAATTTGAGGGCACATTGGCCATTGAGCGAAGTATGAGGACTTTTATTCCCAGCTGTAGTATCCGCTCTTCAGTTCCTGGCATCATTTCTGAGTAGTTTCTGCCCATGCACATAGAACATGAGGTGTTTTTGTTGTTGTTGTTTTTTGTTTTTTCAGAACCTTTGATCTGTGACTGTGGAAGCCAGAGAGGTGCAGGCAAGAAAGTTCACTGACTTTCATATGGTCGTGCACGTAGGAGGAATGGATAGCATGATGAGTCCGGGAAGAAATCTCAAGTACGTTTCCATCTTTCCAAAGTTGCCAGTGAAGATTTTTATACAAAGAGAAATATAACACATGCTAGGTCTGGAATTTTTGGTGAGGATAAATTTTCTGAATCAGTAGCTGTAACATCCCTAATTAATACTTACCGAATATGTACCAGGAAGCCCAGTCTTCATGGCCCAAATTCTTCTCCTACCCTTTGCTGGGAAGAAAACATGAGGCTAAATATAATATAATATAATATAATATAATATAATATAATATAATATAATATAA